TACGAGTGCAATTATAATTGGGTGTGAAACAATATTCAGTTCAGGGATGTTAAGGAACATGCCAGAGAGCTTACATTTGCAATTTCTTTGTGTTGTAAAGGTTTCACGTTGTTTTCAAGCGAGATTGTACTGATTTAAATGTTTTGTAATTTATTTGATTATTTTGAAGGGGGAGAATTGTGTAATATATTTAATTATTTTGGATGAGTGTATTGTGTAATTTTACATGAAATATTAATGTTAAAATATGTGTGATAGTAAATCTTTTATCTTCTATTGACGTTATTCAAATTAATGTTTGTAACATTGGCAAGAACTTTGCAAATTGTGCTTGATTACACTCTATTATGTTCAAAGTGTTACAAAGACAGTATAATTGTAAATGAATTTGTTAAATTTCGTTGTTTTTTCTAGAAGTAGAAGATACAGGTGTGAAATGATTTTTGTTATTGTACAAAGGGCAATTTTTGTTGGTTATTGTTACAATAATTTATTTAAATTTGGAAATGTTCTGGATAAACACTTTTCCAAATACATTTTTTAACTGATGATTGAGAACAGATCAGTTATGAACCCTCCTAATAAATAGTAGAAAGTAAGGAGAATGTTTCACAACGTGTGTGTGCATCAGTGCTAAGAGGTTGTTTCTCTATTCATACTAGCATCCATTGCTCTATTGTAATTCATAATTTGACCGTAGCCACCGGAGTGCAAATAACGAAACAGCAGATCGCCTCGAAGCGCGATCCCCGACGTTTGGGAGAGGGGGACAGCCCCTCAGGTTCCTCTCCATGAATTTGAGCTGCCACGGGGAATGACACTAGGATCCCTTCCCGGTTCTTTATCATCCACCAGGACCCCCAACTTTGTCAACCAGCAGGACTCCTTCCCGACTCTTTATCGTCTATCAGAACCCCCAACTTCACGTAAACCATCAGAACCCCTTCCAGGCTCTTTATCATCCACCACAACACTGAAAAACATTTTTGATTAACTATGGACCGTAGATAGTGTAGACGCTTAAGAGAATGGTGCAGGTCTCATGTTCGTTGAAATGCCTGATTTTGTGAAACTTAAAAAAGTCAGCCTCTTCCTACAACTGTAAAGATACAATTTATTTTCTTAATGAAATGCTTTCATCAAAAACACTTCTTCAAATAAAATCCCGTTAAATTTTTCGAAAAAATGAATATTTATAGTGTAATTTGGCGTCAAATATAGTCCCCCGCTTGGGATTTTATTATTCACCTACGCTTAATGAACATAATTTAAGAAGTACTTATTGCCAATCTTATAAAATAAAGTAGACTGAAGGAAGGTAATAAATTTAACTTCGAACTAACAAACTTCAAGAAATTTGATAGCTGATTATGGTACGTTTCATTTCTAAAAGTTAGAAATGACAACTGTTCCTGGCTGTCGAAATAAACGCAGTATGCACCACAGGCGCTTCGTTTGAATTGGTTGAGTTTGGATCATATTCTTATTATTTCTAAAATTGAAAGAAAAATTGAAAAAATTGAGTACCATAAATTTGTTCAAACATTTTAACTTTAATTTCATATTACCACCTACGCTGCCTGGAGAAAGGATGCAGCGAAGTAAATTTGAGTTCATTGTCGAACGGCAAGATAAAATAAAATACTTCGAATTCTTCTTTTTTGTGCATTGACATAAAATGATTGTGATGTTGTTCATTCGAATCTTGAAAAGAAATGTGACATTTTTATTAACATTAATATATCTTTAAATATTTTAAATTGCGTCCTTTAATTGAGTTAAATGTGAAAACACATGATTTCGCTTTGCGTGTGGGAATGACGAGAAATGTAAAAACTGGGTAGTTTTGATGAATATAACTATATTATTTTAATTATTCTATTTTTCTCTCAATTTTCATTTTCTTGGTGTCTATATCAAGAATGCTTATCTGCAGAATGTGTATTATTCGCGCAACTTTTCTTGAACGATGGGTTGAAGAAAAGCGGGTATTGGGGGGATTAGGAAATTGGCCGCTAGATTTTATGAAGCAATGCCAATCTTCGAAGAATCAGTCATGCGTTCGCAACGTTTTCAATAATTTGCGTTTAACTTTCTCAGGAGTTCGGTGTATCTCCTGTGATAGATCTTTTCCTGCTTCAGTCATTTCTTTAGATATTTTTGGAGAAAATAACGGATTGAAATTCTCGCCTTCAAAAGAAAATAGTTTCTATTTCGCTCCAGTGAAGATATTTGGAATGCTGTCATCAGTGCTCTCTGCGAGCTTTTGCCTTCAACTATTTGTTGTGCCAGAGAGGGTAAGCAAGGTCATCATTCAAAAAAAGTTGAGAGAGTAATATCCCATACGAATTAGCGGTCATTGTTGCTTCTTACAACACGTAACGCTGCACGGATAACAGAAGTATCAGCCATTGGTTCGTGTTAATATAAACTGATAATTTTATTTACGGTTAAAATACGCATTGTTGGTACATTTATGTACAATGTGAATACATTGAATTAAATGGTAGAAATAAGTTGTCATTTAAAGGTTGGAATTTTAAAAAATGTGAATTTTTCACGCTTTGTTTACAATTTATTTCAATGATAGTTAAAGTGTAAGATAGAAATTGTCTTATTACATTTCATTCTAACCATTAACAATATCGCCAGAAAGAACGTGCTGCTTTAGCAGCACTAGCTTTTTTTTTTTTTTTTTTTTTTTTTTGACCCTCCAACAATCCGGTTGGACGGGTTCAGGTCTGAGAAGGGAGCTGTGTGGGGAATGTTGTCGTGGCTTTCCCTGAGTGATACAGCCATTCTGGAATGGACAAGGGATCACCAGAAGTATGCAGTCATCTTGGGAACCATGTCCACCCCTCTACATGCAGATCTTTTTTCCTCAGCAAGACGGCATCTACTCTACGGACAATGCATCGTGTTTGTAGTGTACGTGCGTGGTTCGAAGAGCTACAGGATGAGTTTATAGTACTTTCCAGACCCAAAGTCCCCCAATTTAAACGCAATCGAGAATCGGGCTCTCTCGACCGGGCTGTTCTCGTTAAGGATCCGCAACCGAAGAACAGAGTGCAGACCACGGCACTGGAAAGGAGTCGGAAGGGCTACACGTCCTTGTCGGTACTTCAATACTTTCCCAAAATACTTCGTAAATAAGTATTTAAATACATACTCAAAATACATTAGGTTTTGATTTGCTACATACATACGTACGTATTTAAAATACTCGTACTTCAAATACTACTCAAATTACAGTAAATATTATAATTTTTATTATATATTTTTATAGAAACTATATTGTAATTGTCAATTAAAATAAATTATTATAGTATTATTAGTATGTATATATTGTAATTGTCATTTACAATAAATTAGTATTTGAGCCATACAAATTTCTGAACAGTAACTAACTGTAATATACATATATGTATGAAACTTTCAAACATAAAATAATATATAAAAAGGTCTAACACAAACGGAATTTCCTTTTATAACCTTTTCCTATTTTTTTTTCAAACATCATCAGGAAGCCAACTCCTAGTTGGCGAATGTATAAAATATGTAAAGGAAAACATTCGTTCGGCACAGATGAGCATAAACTAGTGCTGTGATGAATAAACGCTTTTTATAGTAAGATATTTGTCAAGAATTTTGATAATTTAGATTTATCATTTAGAAATGAAGAGAATTTAAATTCATCAGCTGAAAGGAACTTTTATTTTTCTTTCAATGGTGTTTTTACCAGTGGAATCCAACGAAAAGGAACTATCCTCTTTATCTTCTCCTTCATCTGTATTTTTAAGAATTTCATTTTTTAAATACACTCATTTTATGTATTTAAATACATCTCAAAATACGTGTCCAAAAAATTCAAAAATAGTTTTTTCAAATACCGGGTGATCAGTTTATAACGCAACCCTGCTGTTTAAGGCCCGAGGGGAAAAGTGAAAGAATTGCAACACTGCTTCTGTGACAGCTCTTATAATTGCATTTCTGCAACAAAACCTTCACTTACCCCTTCCTTTCAGTCGCCCCGTTCCGGTGGTCTGCGTCATGACTACTCAAAGCAAAACAGGCTGAATGTTCGTTCACTTGTTTTGAAGTTTACTTACGAAGCGCCTTGGCGTACAGCAAAGCAGATTTGTGGTGGAGGAACATTTCTGAACGCAATCTTTCAGAGTGCCAGGCAGGTTTCAGGGAACAAGTTTCTTAAGAGTCTATTCTGGCTAAGAGTACCATTTTGAGGTTAGTTAAGTGCTGTCGCGAGCAGTGCTCATGCAGCGAAATTTTGAAGTTTTTTTTTTCTCTTTTATCATCTGTAATTACGCAATGCGTCTCCTAGCTCCTTAAGGAGCGTTGAGCGCACCGTGGAGTAATCCTCCGTTATTGAACACCCAGCACGCACTCTCTAGCGGGGCTGGGTAATCCATGTCACGTCAATCGCAGTCAAGTCAGAGACTCTCCGACGGGTAGCATGTACGCGGTCGCTCTCGCACGCACCCCGCGTCATCTACCCATTGGGAAGGATTAAGGATATGGGTAAGGTTTACTCGTTTTGTCGTAACAAATTTCACATGAGGTTTCACGGGAATCGAAGCCGGAATCTCGGTCATGAAAGAGTGCGACTTCGCCACTCAGCCACGACAGCATTATGTTCGGGAAGTTCTTTCAACTTCCCTGAAAACAGTTCCAGCAGCGATGTAATTTGGGCGTACTGTGCCATAAAAGAATGGAAAAAAGCGAATTCAAACAGCGGACATCTTAGGAGCTTAAGGTTCTTATCCGCTTCTCGCATTGGCTAAGACGATTTGTTAGCGAAGGTCTTGAGGCACTTGATAAAGTGTTTTCTTAGGGATGAGAATTTGTTTCATGTGGATGGCTATGTTAACCAGCAAATCAGACTCTGGGGGTACTGTGAGACCCCAGGATAGAGAGGCCATTGCGATATTGAGTATGGAGTGCTATATCTCGACCACAATATTTGATCGATTGTTTTTTCACAGAAACTGTAACGGCGGAAAGGTATCAGAAGATATTGAGACATTTTGTATCCCTTCTTGAAAATGAGAAGAAAAATTGTTGGTTTCGAAAGGATGGGGCGAGTCGACAATGTAATTTCTGGAAGAGGGGTTTGGAAACAAAATAATTTCATGAGGTTTATGGTACCTTCGTTCGCCTGATTTGTCCTGTCAGATTTATTCTTTAGGGGTGCTTTAAAAGTAAAGTTTATGTGAACAAACCTGTTTATTTGGAAGAGCTGTAAAGAAAAATCAAGGAAGCGACTCCCATGATAGACGAAGAACCTTTTCATCGGTTTGCAGCAAATGTTCTTATGCGAGTTAATGCTTGTTTGTTGGCAAATAGAGGGAATTTGACATTTTTATGAGGTTCGCTTGTAATAATAATATTTGTTTTGCGAATTTGGAATTAATAATGTATTAATACTTACTTAAAACATCAAGAAACGTGTCCATTTCTGGAGCATACTCGTTGAGAAACTAAGCACAGAAAAGTGACTTTTTAAAGCTACCTAAGTGTATATTTCTCATGGCAAGCTTATTTCACTTTCAAATATTGTACAAAGAAATCACTGTTCTTTCGACACCAGTCAGGCGCGTGCCTTCTCTTTGAACTCGTGGCCATGGACACCTGCTCACCTCCTCTGGGTGGCATTAGGGGAGGGGAGATAAAGCGTACTTCCAGATACCTTACCTTATCCTTACCTGCTTTAAACCCCCCAGCCTCTATCCAAACCGCTCAAACATAGTTACCAGTGAAATTCGCCCTGCATACTGTGGGTTGCATTTCAAACTGAACACCGGGTACAAAACGTATTTTCAATACAAATATTTAAATGCTACCCAACCCTGCCATTGATAATTTAATTCTGAAAAGTACATTGACGATTCTTTATTTGATCGACAGTATATTTGATTCCATATATTTGCGCCAATCAGCACAGTATCATTCCGGATTTAAATATTCCTTTATTTTTAAAACATTCTCATTTATCCATTCAGTCTTTTATGAACTTTTAAACCCCATCCTCAGGGATGCTCCCATGATTAATACACGGGAAACAGAAGTGGATAGAATTCACTTTGTCCAACTTCACCTTCCATGTGACATTTTATAAAACCACTGATCTACCAAAAGATATTTAAATTGTTGGGAATATGATATAAGATTTCAGTTGGTAGAGGGGGATAAAAAATTCCAATGTTGTCATTTCAGTGGAATTAAATATTTGCACATCATGGCACTCTATTTTCAGATTGCTCTATACAAAAACGTTATGATATAATACTCATATTGAATCAATATGATACTTGAGTCAGATATTGGTTGAAGATTGTTAAGTGAAGTTTATGGCCACGTTTATGAAGATGTTTATTGTTATTCAGATTTTAATGTGTAGTTGTAAAATGTTTGTGTAAGGTTGTAATTGTTGAAATATAACCCGCAGTTGTTGACTGACTCTTTTCAGTAGGTTTCCAATTATGTTTTACACAGCCTTGTATAGACTATGAAGTGTCAGGGGCTAAGTGAACTAAATAAAATACCTCTTTATGAGGCCAACCAATACACTTGCAAATGTAATATCAAACTCAAATTACTTACCAATTGTTCATGAAAGTGAAACAAAATTTTGAATGTTGAAGTGTAGGTACTGTGTGCTAGTGCAGTACTTACCAAGTGTATTTTGTAGAATATACCATTTCGCACTTAGTTTACTTAAATACTAAACATATACAGAGTACAAAGGACATGCTCAGTGAATTGAAAATAGTACTGGCATAATACTGGCATTACAATTCATGTACAATGTGTAAACTGATTTCAATTGCATTAATAACTTAATCATTGGAATTATTTCAATTTACACACTTTTTTTTGTTGCTGAAGATTTTTGAACTTTCATTTTTTCTTCTTCTTCTGGTAATTGTTACATTTCTACATTTGAGAAATTTTCTTTAGTATTAAACAAAACTGTAAATTCACCCATTAGATTACAGTGAAACCCATATTAGGGTCTACTATTGGTTCTGTGCAGAAAGTGGTGTTTTGTAGTGTGTATCACGATCTGTAAGTAATATCACAATCTATTATGCAGGCCATTTATTTGAGTAAAAATGTAGATATTTACATCATGAAGTCCCTTTAATGAATTAAATTACTTTAAAATTATGCCAGTACTATTTTCAATTCAAGAGGACATAAAGGGGGACATTCCATTAAAATTTAAAAAGGAGGGAGGATAATGTTAAAAAAAGAGGACAGTCTTCCACGAGAACAGATAGCAACCCTCTATTACGTATGTACTGAGGGATGATTCTTAATGGTTCATGAGGATGTTTCTCTACTACTATCTCACTTCTATGCTATTTCAAATTATTGTGTTAGTATATTTCATAGTGTTTTATAATTTTCTCAATGAATGTAGAGGGACTATTATCTCATTTATCCTTTACACACTCTAAATTCTATGTCGGGGCTCTTCAAATTTAACAGACCATACATCATGAATCATAACCATACATCATTTGAGTAGGCTCTCAATATGTAATTTACAGTTATACCTGTATGTGCAATTTTTTTATACTAGTGTGCTATATTTTCCATTTTTTCAATAGTTACATGTAAGAAATATAATTCTTTACTGCTTCTAAGGTAAACTGATTATTATTCTTGAATTCTGCCAATATATTCATTTATCTTTATCAACTATTAAAACGGTATATTCAATGTACTTAAAATAGAATGATACACCAACCTTGTGATTTCTAAAGTCATTATAAGAATTTCAGAAAACTATCAATGTTACTACCAATCAGATTAATTTCAATTTGCTGATATACTTTGTTGTTGATGTTGATTACAATAATTTGCAGAATGAACCTTGTGACAATCAATATTTCCTCCTTAGGAATATTACTCCAATCTTTTTCAAGATACACACTTACCTAGTCCTTGAAAAAAAAAAAGGCCTTGATGACCTAATGGCAACAAAGTCTGAGGCATTTCTAATAATATTTGCAAGTTAAAAACTATTTTCAAGAGTATTTATACCTTTTCCAAAAATGTAGTTTTAGTGTATACTTAAGTAACTTACATATTTGATATATCGATGTCTCAATAGTTGAAAATACAGCACTCACCAGTAAGTCAATACATATGATGTAGTATAAATAATACTGAACTATGTACATTCGTTCACTAATAAAGATATATTATAAAAAAACAAAAGAAAAAAAACCAGTAAGTCAAATGTGTGGAATTTATTAGTCAACATGCTTTAGCTGCGATTTCTGTGATGGGGTAGATTTGATAATATGTATAATTTTCAATATATTTTGGGTCCCTCCGTTGCTTAATAAAATCTTGTTATAAGTTTTATTTTCACATTCTATTATGCAATGATTTTATGATTATTCACATCAAATCACATCACACTCATTTCAAATATATTTTATAAACAAAGTGACAAAGTTACTTTCACACATTTTTGTGTAAATTCTTACATATACATACATATATACCAAAGTTTTGTTCTTTTGTGTAGGACAGAACTTAGGCATTTCATCATTTTATTGGAGATTAAAATATTGATACTGCTTCTTTTACCCCCAAAATTGTAACATGCACAAAACATGATTGATGTATGATTATTTTGTAAGTTGTACTGTAATATTAATACTTATTAATGCTTGCTTATTTTAAGACACACAGTGTTAACAAATGGTTACCTCAAATTTTGGAAATTTATCAGTCGTTTTTTATCTTTTTTGATCATGCAAAAGAAACAGAGGAATCTGACTAACTTTTCACATAAACATTGTATATTATCAGTGATAATGTTTTTAGTTGTAATTTAATTAATTAATCTGATAAAATAATATACTGTCAAACCAAAATTGTTTGCATTGAGCTAGTATGACATATTTACAAATATTCAACATGGGATAGCTCTATACCTTTTTTAGAGTAAAACTGAGTTGTGGCATTTCATACATAAGGCATTGTCATTCTTTTATTTTTAATAACCTCAATCATAATACTTTTGCAAACTAACACACACTTAGCAAAAATATTTACATAAAGAATATATCATTTACATAAAGAATTAATGTGGCCACAATAATTATCAATGCTAAGGCCAGATATTGCAATGATAGTAGCTATTATACTAAATATACAAATCTGAAAATTCAAACTTTTAATACTCAAAACAAGAATTGGAAGAACAAAAGGAGAAATATATCGAAAATTAATTCTGAAATATAACACTTCACTTCTGAAAATTAAGCAATAAAAACAATGACACACCTTGACAATTTTATTTCATTTACTGCCATCCTATATGTATTTCGAATACCACATTTCTTGAATATTTCCCATCCTGTTGTAATGCATTTAATTGTAGTCTTGATGTTTCCCTGTTACTTATATATTGATGATGAAAAATAAAAACAGATCAACAGATTTATTAAAAAGTCAATTGAATCAAAAAGTCAGTCTACATTCACGGAATATTTCATCTTTTATGTGGTTTGGAGCACTTAAGACCTAAAATATTCCTGCTAATTTCAAGTTAAAGAAAATTCTAAAAATAATGTCATCACTTGGCACATTTTTATTGTGAGAACACTTCACTTGTAAACTCAGAAATGACTTATTGGTCTGCTTAAACAACTTACCTTGGAGACTCAACACGTGCCTGGCTGCTGCTTTATCCAGATTAGGTCAGTCTGTCCTTAACCTTGTCCCAGACCTTGACTGGCTGTTACGCTGTGTTGCCATGCACTCGCGCGGCTAGCAAGTGGCAAGCACATGGCCAAGGTCACAAGCCCTGTTAAGGACGTTCATGAATTTATTAAAAAGATACCTTTTATAAGGCTAACTTACATATTTGATATATCGATGTCTCTATAGTTGAAAATATAGAGGTATAAGGACGTTCGCCAACCTATATTCGCCCATGAATTGTATGAATCGTGTTCAAATCCACCGAAGTGAAGAAAGATAAAACTTACATTTTTATATTTCTTTAAAAGACCTTTATGAGTATTATTACCAGGGGCGCCCAAAAGTAGAGGCCAGCGGAGGATCTCGGGGGGCATGCTCCCCACCAAAGCCCTAGAGTTTTTGTTTGTTATCTTCCTTTATTTGACAACAATGGTTTAAATATTTGTGTTGGAATTGCGTATTTTTTCAAAAAATAATATTGCTACAAAAATAATATACAGTACACATATTACTCTCTAACATTAAGTTAATAGTATTATTTATCTTGATGAATGTTTTCTATATTAATCAGGTTTAGGATCTAGGTTCGTAGTCAAATATGCGCGGATTCTCAAAATCGAAAGTGTATGATAAACTCTATGTTCAGATATTGTATTAGCTTTTCTCTGGTTTCTTTAATGTTGTTTTTATGTTTACGCAATCTAGTTCTGATCTTCCATTTCGTTTGTCCCTCGTAGGTTTTTTCGCATCTTGACATTGAATACCTTAAACATTTTCAACATCTAATTTAGGATACTATTATTTAATGTTATCTTTTAGCACTGAATATCAAATTCTTTTTATTTGTAACGAATATGTCCAGATAATGTTAATATTGTCCATTTTTAGGTTCTTTTCTATCTTGTTGGTAACATGCGGTATGTTAGGGAGAATAATCTGTTTTTTGTCCTCAAGAACAATTTGTTCTGACGACCTATTTATTTCTCCTTATATGCAAACTCTCCTCTTACTTATATGTTTGTTGATAAAAATCTTGGAATAATTGTTCTCAGAGCGTATTGCGGTAAGAACTATTGTTAAGTTGAGCTGATGGTGGACTGGATGTGAGAATTTTAAGGTCCTATCTACTAGTCCATAAACTATGCTAATTTTTTGTTTGATTGGATGTTTGAACAAATAGTTAAGTACTCGGTTAGAAGCACTACTTTTTCTGTACCAATTTGTTGTTACAATGCCATTATCGTGCGTGATATTTACATCTAGAAAACTAATCGATTTGTTGTTTTCCCTCCATTGAATTACCATTCGAATTAAACAAATTGAGTATATAGAGCATGTGCACAATTTGTTATATCTACATAATGTTTATAGAACACTGATGTTTATATGTGGGAACATAACTTACTCTAATTTACGCATCACTAGCGCTGAAAAGATCGAGCACAAAGAGCCTCCAATTGGTGTCCCTGTGCATTAGTTGTAGACGGTTTTCTTAAAAGAGAACTCTATATTCCATAAAATAGCCTAACAACCATGATGACTTCCAGCAACGGAATAACCAAGTTATCCAATTTGCGGAAATAAGATTCTATGCAATAATTCGCGAGTCGGGAGATCGATGGCCGTTGCCGCGCGGGTTCCATTGTCGCTGACTTGCTCCCGGCCCTGCATTGCCTGCACCTCTCGGCTGCTTCCCTTACAGGGGGCATCTCTTAAAAACTGCCTTAGGGCCCTACTATTTCGTATCAGCCACTCACTTTCCTGGTACGAACGCGATAATCGTCCTTGTAAAATTTCTTTGGCTGCGGCGATCAACAGGCTGTAGTTATCATGACTAATGGTAGGTAGAAGTACATGTTTCTGCCTTTCAATATGGCTTATTTACAATATTTTCGATAATTTTCTGCTGAATCCCATTACCCCCTCCCTTCCCCTATACATGAATGTTGAAACTTAAAATTCGAGACTAGCTAAAAAGATGCTATTGATCAATCATTTTAATTAATCACGTTATTGAACATAATAAGCCGTATACATAATTGCGAGTCTCTGTTTTCCTCAGGATCGCCCCGCGGACCTTTTTAATACTTTATCACAGCTTAGACATCAACATAACAAATACATTTTTATGAATTCGATTTATTAAAGTTAAGATTCAAGAAAATACAATAAATAAATGGCGTAAAGCTCAAACAAGTAAAATAAATCGTTATAAACCTTATTTTTAGTCATGAAAATTGCAACTTTGGAATGTTCCCGGGTATTTATAATTGCCATCAACCACTCTTAATATTTTAGTTACGTATCACATTTTTTAGTGACAAATATGCTTCTTGAACACAAGTATTACTAGTAGTAAAAGATATATAAGGCACGTCGACTAACATCCTTGATGTGTTTTTTTATGCTATGAAATTTATTTTCCATACAACTCAAATACACCATGATTTTCATACATTTCTCGAGATTTTACTCGAAACAACTGTCCGGTTTTGTGAGAATTTCTGCAGGAACTTCACAATATTCATTCATGTACGAACCAATCATTCCAACCTTTATGCAATACTAATTAGGTACAAGCACTGATTAGTCTATGTGACGCCATATTGACAAACAAGTTCAATGCATCCTTTTAATTTAGAGGCAAGGAAAATAATAAAATGTTTCGAATTCTCATTTGATTCAGCAACAAAGTAGTAAACCATAAAGTTATGTATCCACCACTGGCGTTACTATGTGTTTCTGCCCCCAGGCGGTTTTCAACGCTTCGGACCAGAGGCCCTCGGGTTTGAAAGTCGTCCTTGGGACAAAAGCACCTACTTAACGCCCTACATTTTGGGGGAATTCCACTTTTCTTCTACTTTCAGGTTTGTTTACGACGCCCAATCACAGAAGGCACGTTTGCTTTTTGTTTGTAAATTGAAGAGTAAGCACAAAATGAAATGTGTTGCACATGTCTCCAAATAGTCATTAAAACTTGGCCCTATGGCACCCGATTTTGAACACGACACCCCTATGGCGGCCTTGTCTTGCGAAATCCTCAGCAGTGAATCCACGCTGAGATCGTATGTCTACGTCCGCGCCCCATTCCATGAGCGCAACGGCGCACTCTGTCTTCCCGTTCATTGCGACTATATGCAGAGGAGTAAGGCCCATTTCGTTCTTAACATTTACTTGTGCACCCGCCTCAAGCAGCGCGTCGACACACTCTTCTTCCCCGTTCATTGCGGCAGAATGCAGAGGAGTTTGTTTCGATTCGTCCTGAACATTCACTGAAGCACCGGCCTCCAGCAGCGCGCCGAAGCATTCTCTCTTCCCGTTTCGTGCAGCTAAATGCAGAGGCGTTTGGCCCCCTCGGTCTTTTGAATGCACTTCAGCTCCACCCTCCAGCAGCGCAACAACGCATTCTCTTTTCCCTGTCCGCGCGGCTTCATGCAGAGGAGTTAGGTCATTTTTGTCCTTAACGTTCACTTGGGCACCGGCCTCCAGCAGCGCGCGCACGCACCAGAGGTGGCCGGCAGAAGCTGCGTTGTGCAATGAGGTCCTTCCATTCACCTCCGTAGCATCGACGTTGACGCCCAGTTGCAACAGCGCGCGAAGAGCTTCCTGGCGACCGTCGGTCGCTGAAGCAACTAACGCCTCCCTCCCTGCTTCCTCCAGCACCACGTCAGGGGCAGCGTCCGCGAAGACCCACACCACCTCCGCGCTAGCAGACACTCGCAGGGAGCGACCTATCTCGGCCCTGTCACACTGATGGACCGCTTCCAGCAAGCATTCAAGGATATCGTCGTGTCCGTCTCTAGAAGCCACAAACAACGGTGACTCATCTTTGCTGCTTTTATTTCCTGGTGAAAGTCCTTTCTTCAATAGCAATTGCACCACATCTCGTTTCTGATTTTTTACTGCAACCAATAGGAGAGTGTCTCCATTAACATCAGTTGCGTTCAAGTCAGCCCCTTTTTCCAAGAGGCATGTCACTATTTCGGGGCTTCCGTATTTGGTGGCGTTTAGCAGAGGTGTGTTTCTTGTCTTGTCGGCTGCATTCACGTTTGCCCCTCTTTCCAGAAGACGTGTTACTACTTCCGAGTTTCCGTTATTGGTGGCGTTCAGAAGTGGAGTCTCGCCGTTTTTGCCAGCCACGTTCACCTCGGCCCCTTTCTCCAAGAGGCAAGAAATGACGGCAGATGTTCCGTGCCTCGTGGCAATTAGCAGAGGAGTGTCGCCATCCATGGAAATCGCGTTCACGTCAGCCCCTTTCTCCAAGAGGTACGTAACAATCTCGGGGTTATCGTATTTTGAAGCGTTCATGAGCGGGGTTTCTTTGTCCTTAGACGCAGCGTTCACGTTGGCCCCTTTATCCAGCAGAGCGACCGCAGCGGAGAAGTTCCCCCTGACGGCGTGCGAGAGGGGCGTCCTTCCGTCGACGTCCTCTGTGTCCACTGACGCGCCCTGCTTCAGGAGCGACTGCAGCGCGACCGCGTGGCCTCCTCGGGCGGCGAGGGCGACGGCGGTGGCGCCCCGGGCGTCGCGCGCCTCCACTGCCGCCCCGACGCCCACCAGGCGCGCCACCGTCGCTGAGTACCCGTTGGCGGCCGCGCAGTGCAGCGGGGTGCGACGCTGGTTAGCCCAGTTGTCCACGCCCGCTCCGTTCGCAATCAGCACGTCCACCAGCTCCGTGCGGCCGTTGCTCGCAGCCAGGTGCAGCGCGGTGTTGCCGCGCTCGTCCCGCGCATTTACTCTTCCTCCATCGGCCAGAAAGCGCCGCAGTGCTGCCACATCTCCCTTCTCCGCAGCCTCCAGAAGTGACTTCGGGGCATCTATGGAGGGGCTGGAGGAGGCCGGGGCGCCATGGATGGAGTCAGTGGGAGGGCCGTCTGTGGCATATGGTATATTTGCTTGGTATTCCTTGACTATTGGAGCGGCGGTGGCAGATGCAGGGAGGTGTATGTTGAGTGACGAGGTGGTGATGGTGGTGGTGGGAGAAATGGTAGTAGGTGGAGGAGATGGCTGTTTTGGAGGTAACTGGCCCTGGGAATCGGGAGTGGCGGACACGCTCTGGTGGAATGCGTACAGCTCCCCCATCTTGGGCATTGAAATTACCAGTTTTTGCTGCAACGATTCCTCCGTTTCCGTAATTTTCTTTGCCACGAGTCGCTCGAGTACCTCCTCTATTTTGGTGAGTCGTTCATCAGTTTTTGCAAGTCGTTCGTCTATTTTCGTAAATTGTTCGTCCATTTTAGCAAGTCTTGCGTTCATTTTTGTGAAGCCTCCTCCAGCTGCCGGCTTTCTGAAGTGCTCGTGTCTATGGGCACCTGCAGACATAAACTAAATTTTAGTAAGGGTGCTCTCTGCATTTATATATAGAGTGAGTCACGTAACTGTAGCACCTGCCACTATTAAATGGTTGAATTTATTGCAATGCAGTTTTCATGCGTTTCTATTTTATCACTTATATTTTACGAGATATTTGAAGTAACTTTGTTTTTTTATTGGAACTATGAATATTTTTTGTCTATCACGGCGAGAGTAAAAAGACAAATCCAATGATATACATATAGTCTTTGGCTTGTAGTGGTAAAGGCGAGTAACTATTATGTTAGCAATGCAGAAAATCAAATCTGCAGTTCGTTTACCGTAGCAAAACTGTTTTCTATAACTCCGGGGTAAATCATTTATTAAATTTTGGGGGTACTGTACAAAAAGCTCCACGGACATTTTCAAAATATTTTCAATTTTTTTCTTCAAATTTCTTGTAAGAATAGAGTTAAAGAACTTATAAAAGTAGCAAACTTCCGATTTTCACGGTTAACTGAATTATCGAAAATTGCAAAAATTAAGTTTTTTGAGGTGTGTTCCTACAACTACAAAATTGATGATCGTAATTTGTTTCGAATAAAATTTGTACTCCATTGCGATGTTCCTTCATTAAGGACATGTACTGTTTTTGAAAATTTTAGTTCTTTTCGCGCAATATTACGAGCAATATGTGCAATTTAAAAAAAAAACTCCAAAAATATTTTCTTAAATACGGGTCGAAATTTGTTCTTTTTATCTTGTGGTTGAGATAGTGCTGAATGCTCCTCTCTACAAGATGACATAAACGCTACATTGCTATCTTTTGTTGTTTTTTTCTTCAAAAATTACAAAATGCAATTTTTACTTGTCTCTCTTCATTAATATTAATACTAGCTGCAATTTGTTCACATTCTTATATTTATGAGTTCGTGTGCTTTAAATAATGTTATACAAACTTTCTCGAGAACTCATCAATATTCTGTGAAAACTAACTACAATTCTGCATTTTCAGAAGCGTTCAAACAACTTTCTCTCAAAAACTGCTCCAAATTTTTTCTTTAAACTTTTCGAACAGATAGTGCTAATTGCACTCTTTAATATGACGTAATGTTCATTTTGGGGTATTTTTCGTTTTTTTTTTTTTCCCAAAAATTATACAAATGTAATTGTATTGAAAGATCTCTCAGGCCGTTAATATGCACATTTCGAACAATTTGTAAACATTATTGTATTTGTGAATAAATGTCCTCCAAATGACTTCTAATGAAGGAATGAATAAAGTAATTACTCGGGAAGTAGTTCAAATTTATTTTTTGTAATAACCGCGCCATTTATCGCGAAATAATAATTTTTTTTAACAAAAGTTACGAATTGGGTAGCGTAGAATCCGAATCTGCAATAATAATGGGGGTTCGCATTTAATATTTCTACGTTCCCCCATCCCATCGTCAGGGGGTGGGAAGAGGGGGTTGAGTTAGGCACTAATTAATGAGCCCCCGAGATTATTTTGTAGAAAGGTTGACTTCTTGGCTGTCCGGGTGACGCCGCGTCGTTGGCTGAGAGGCCGACACTCGTGTCATTGCCCTGAAGAAGTCTGCGATATGACAGGCGAAACGTCGGCCTCTCAGCCAACGACGCGGCGTCACCCGGACAGCCTAGAAGTCAACCTTTCTACAAAATAATCTCGGGGGCTGCGGGAGCCTACGTGTACAAGGTTGTCTGCCTTGATAGGATGCCGCTCTTCCTGCCTGTTGTTCTCAGTGTGCAAAGTATAGCGTGAGTCAGAGCTTGTGTCTACGGCAGTCGTTTCACGCCGAAATGCAAATGAATGTATGACATTTTCAGTGATAATTGTTTTAATGTCGCTGTGTGAATTCAGACTGAGAAATGTAACTTACCACACCGTTTGAAAAACTTTAGAATATCGCTATAAGAAGTTATAATCTATATCTATACTAATATATAGACTGAAGAGCGTTGACTTGCAGCGCGATAATCTCTGAATCCACTGAATTAATACCGATGAAACTCTGGTGCTAGCTTCCTTTAAATGTCTGGTTTACTGTAGGCTATGATTTACAGCCACAAACTTTCATATGTTTACAAAATAATTACGTTTCTGGAGGGTTTTTTCGCCCAGCATTACATCACAGACTTAAGAGTGTATCATTGTGCAATTATTTATCTACGTTCCATCAAAGAATGACGACTGTGATCTACGTTTGGGTTCATCTACGCACAGAATTGCATGTCTATAGGGAAGACCAAAGAGGTTATAATATATTACAACCTCCTTGGAGTGGGCTGTTTGTTGTTTTTTTTTTACTTTCATTTGTCGAATCTAAATTTGTTCATATTTAAGAAAGACAATGACAGTTTTTCTTTACTCTTTATTTACAAGAAACTTGGATATTGATTTTAATTTAAATTGGCGTGAATATATTAAGTGTAAGAGAGACATAAAATTATTGAAGAAAAAATTGTGGACGGATGTGCTTGATGTCGTGAATGCACACAGGTGTTATGTACGAAGTAGTTACTGCGTTAGAGATAGTAAATTAAGCATGATTATTACGCATTTCCGAATTGAACGAGGGAAAGTGAAACATATTATGAATTATTTACGTGTTATGCTGAATCTGTGACAGGTATATCCGGAGTTTAGGGTGCCACCAGTTCATTTGGCTCACTGATCCGGTTCACTAGAGGGGAATCGACTCGCTGAACTGAATCCTTGTTTACTATTCGCGTGTTGTAATGTTCACCATGTTATCGCAAGAATTATAATTTCTATTTAACACTCACATGCTACTTAAACTATCATTACTATTCAAAGCCTATATTTTATTTAAAAAAAAGCATCTATCTACTTAACATTTTTTTATACGCTCTAGAATTCGCAGTATATTTCACTAACACTTTCTACTTAAACTTTTTTTATTATTGGAGGGCTATCGCCCCCAACCCCCCATTTTATTAATAAAAATCAACCCGACCTTTTTTTTCAAACAAACACTATTAAATATAGCAGTATTTTATTAGAAAAAGAAACATCAACTCACATAATCGCTGAAATTATAGAATTTTAATAGTATTAAAAATACTATGGTAGTAAAATTAGTGTAACGTCTCTACTAATTACGTATAACATCCTTATAACACAAAAAAATCAATGATTCATCAACGGATCACCAAATCTGCTTTTATCTGAAAAAATACACACTACTTTTTATGAACTAAAGTTTAGTAAATTAATACGAAGAGTCCTTTCACATAGACATTTTCACGCTATGACCATTCTCGCCTCTGACTACAAATCCACTCAAAACCATGTGTTCTATCCTTTCTCTCAGTAAATTTCATTTCTTTCTTGCATACATTACATACACGTCGAGACGCAAGCAAACACTTTCTGACACCACTGAATCACATTCAAACTTCCCTCTCGGCGCAAATAATAAATAAATCCTGAATTCATACCTTCCATCTCGGTGGACACACAAAACTATTAAAAGGAAACTTGAAATGCCCAAAACAAACACGCAAATCTACGCCAAAAAAAGAGTCTTTACAATTTTACAATTCATAAAATTATGAAGTAAATAATTTTGTCGTCATAGTAACAACTGTTATTAGGTTTACTGTGTCATAGTAACAACTGTGTTTAATTAGTAAATAGTGTCTATATTTGTAATCCATTTCAACCAGCATGCAAAAATCTTATTTTGTGCTTTGAAAGAGTGTTGTGAAGTGTAAATTTAGATGTGAATTGAAATTTAAAATGTGTCCTCATGAAGAAAAAAATGTTTCGAAATAGCAAAATGTATAGCTTTATATGGCATAGTCAAATTGTGTAAGTATTTATGCTTTGAATCAATGCCAGCAAAATTATTCTCTAGTGATTGAAGTGAACCGCGCAACTATAATCTTGTGAATCACGAGAACTAGTGAACCAAAGGAACCGGTGGCACTCTAAACTCCCGATCAAACCAGTGTGACAAACTGACGAATTTTTGTAGGGAAGTGATTTATTGTAATGGAGAGTGAATGGTCTGCCCGGAATCTTTTAAACTCGCACAGCCCGGCGCCGAACACCGAGCGCAGGTGCGGCGAGTAAAGTTTCACGCTAGACGCGGCGACGAAATTCGCGGATTCGTTCGCACCGCAGTGTCAATTGGGAGCCAGCGTTTGTTTTCCTCAACCGATAAAGAAGTGGTGCTCGCCTCTATTCATGCAGGACATAGAAAATGTTATTCTGTACGCTTCCTGAACACATGTGGTACGGGATTTTTATCTTCTTTATCTAAGATATTTTATCAAATTGTTAATATCTCTTTAGGAAACATAAAATAGGGGTTCTTGATTTTGACGCAGGAAGAAAAAAGTACTGACTCTTCCATACTTTGACGGCACAAATGATGAGAAACGCTCAAGTATTTACTAGAATGACCAGTGATGGTTTTGATAAAATTTTGAATCTTTTCCGAAGACATAAGAAACTATGAAACTATGAAATATAAGAGTCGTGATGATATGAAGAGTCGTGAATATATGTCATATGAAGAACTACTTGCTATTACACACACACACACACACACACACAGACAGAGCAGAGCGAGACAGAGACAGAGACAGGGACAGGGACAGAGACAGAAGACAAGACAGAGACAGAGACAGAACAGAGACAGAGACAGAGCAGAGACAGAGCAGAGACAGAGACAGAGACGAGACAGAGACAGAGACAGAGACAAGGACAGAGACAGAGACAGAGACAGAGACAGAGACAGAGACAGAGACAGAGAAGAGACAGAGACAAGAGACAGAGACAGGGACAGGGAAGGGACAGGGATGGAGGACGGGACAGGGATCAGGACAGGACAGGGAGCAGAATATAGATATAGATATAGGATATAAGATATAGATATAGATATAGATATAGATATTAAGATATAGATTAGATATGATTAGAATAGATATCGATCATAGATGATATAGATATAGATATAGTATGAAGATG